CCAATTCTCTCACAACAGAAGCAACTTGCAGTTTCTCAAGTCGCTTCTGACACGATTTTAAAAAATCTTGATGAAGTCACACACTCTCAGCCTCAGAGGAAGACAATGGCAATGGAAGACAAAAGAAATCTTGTCAAGAAAACCCTATGAGGCTCACCATAAGTTTGAAAGGACTTGAAGAAACACAACACAATGAATGCTTAAATCATGTTTAGGGCTAAATACCTATGGGTGGACTTCACTGCTTTGCACCTCTCGTGTTTGCATGTAGAAACAGTCATGCTCCCATTCTTAGGCGAAGAAATATGTCCAAGACGTCGTCTCACCAAACTGCCAAAGAAATCCCCATTTCAAATGCCAAGGGCCTCTGAACCAGCGTCTCCATCCGCTCTCAGATTTCAGCGACAAATCGAGACTCTCCAAAGCCAAAACGAAACACAACAAAATGTTTCTGGAATTCAAACATCACATTCTTTCTGCTCTTAAAAGCACACAATATTCCCTGAAAGCCTGCTTGCAAAATATTGATTCTTTCCCACTCCCAATAAAGAGAAGAGTGGCTGTGTGTTTGTATGTGCTCAGTGTTTTTATGAATTCAACTAGTTGGTCTCAACAACTTACATAGATTTGAGGATTCTCGCTCCTTGTAGTGAAAGGATACGCATTTGGGAAAAATGAAACCTGGCATTTCCATTTCTCTTGGAAATGCCAGGTTGAAATAGGTTTCGTTCTCCTTTTCACTCAGTTTTGGTGACCACAAACTCAAACTGGTGAATGTATTTCACCAGCAGGATGTCATCCTCCACTGAAAATCCCACAAATCTACAACTCCCGTGACCAAAAAGAAGCATTACAAGGAAGAAAGGAAACATTGCGAGGGGTGTTTGAAATTGGGTTCAATTTTCAACACTGTCCACCTTAGCAAATTTGAATTACTATTCTCAGCTCAGTCCTTTTAGCTACACAATCTGATCCACGGAGTGGAAATGATCACTAGGAACTAGCAACTGGGTCCTAATAAAACTTTATCTTCCAATGCAGTGGCTGCCTTTCCAAGCATGGTCTTGATCAAAAGCAGAGCAATAAATAAATAAATAAATAATATAAAGATAGTAATTAGTAAATAATAATAATATATATAATAATAAGATAATAATAATAATAATAATAATAATAATAATAATAATAATAATAAGATATTTAAACCCATTTCCCTACTTCCAACAGACCTCACTACCTCTGAGGATGCTTGCCATAGATGCAGGCGAAACGTCAGGAGAAAATGCCTCTAGAACATGGCCATATAGCCCGGAAAAACCTACAACAACCCAGTGATTCCAGCCATGAAAGCCTTCGACAATACAATAATAATAATAACAACTGGAAAAGCTGACACGATATAAGGATTTAAAGATCGAAGTGCAAAGACTCTGGCACAAGCCAGCAAAGGTGGTCCCAGTGGTAATCAGCACACTGGATGCAGTGCCTAAAGACCTTGGCCTGCACTTAAACACAATCACGGCTGACAAGATTACCATCTGCCAGCTGCAAAAGGCCACCTTACTGGGATCTGCACGCATTATTTGCCAATACATCACATAGTCCTAGACACTTGGGAAGTTTCCGACGTGTGATCCAATTTAACAGCCAGCAGAGTGTCTGGTGTGGACTCATCTTGTTGTGTTTCAAATAATTAATAATAATAATAATAATAATAATATGTTCCGGCAACACTTGGATGCATCTGGAAATGCAAGGATACCCCTCACCCCCAATCTATTGACTTCTTTGAGCCAGTCCTTTCTTTTCTCTTCGGAGGCCCTTGCAAGCCCTTAGCATCTTTCCAATGAGCCAAGTCCTGCTTCTTCTGGCCCTCGGCTCAGGCTGCCCCCTGCCGTACCAAAAGCAACAGCACCGCTGACGAGAACCAAGCCAAGACTGACTCCAACTAGTATGTTTGCCCACCACAGTCCCTACTTGGACCCAGACCTAAACAGAAAGGACTCTGCATCTTTGAGACGCATTCTATGCAAGAATTATGCCGTCATTATACTGAATTTCTAGATAAAGATGAACCCAATTGGAAGTCAGAGGCACCGGCTGCAATAAGGAGCTCCCTCCTTCCAGCTGCATCCTTTTTAGGGGGTTCGTTCTCCAACTAAACACCCACAAACCATGCCAAAGGGTGCATCTGCAACCTTGTAATTGCACTAACATATACTAGACTCGTGTGCCCAAATCCACCAGTCCAAAGTTGCCCTCCTCCCCAAATACCAAAGGATGTGATTTCGGACATGGATCGTATATACTGGACACTGCTTGGACAATCTTTCTCTTTCCATCCACCATCACAAGATCTCATTGTCTGTCAGCTCCACCCCCTCCTTCCTCACATCTGGATTAACCCTCTGTGCATCGAGATGGCACAGTGGGCAAGCTTGGGTTCTGACCCCTTTGGCATGGGGTACCTTTTTGGATACAAAAAGCACCCCTTTGTTTTGGAAAAGGGAGCACCAGGGACTTCAATTCTGGTCATATTCCCTATTACGGAGTCTTAGGACTGTACTCTGCTCTATCAGAAAATAAACCAAAGGCAAATGAAGCATCCCTTTTCTCTCCGCACAACTGTCAGTCTCCGGAATAATACCAAATCCCTCCAGTGACTTTCGGAAGCCCAATTTGGAAAGAAGGGGACGATGGGATATGTTTTTTTTCAAAGTGTAAACACTGGAGGAGAGCATAGTAGGCATTCTGTATGCGATTACATTATTGCACATTATTACTTACATTCTCTGTCTCCTGTAGATAAACATCTCTACAAAAGGGGTGCCTCTGAGGCTGGGTTTACACTGCGCTATAATCCAGATTAACTGCGTTTTACTGTGTTTTGTAGAGAGGCTTGTTAGACGTTGTTTCTGTTGGCGTAAATGCCTATGACCATTGTTCAGAGCATTCACAAATTGATTGATTGATTAACTGCATCAAACGGTGCGAACTCATACAATCCAGTTCCGCAGCATCAATCGGCGTTCCAAAACTGGATTAGAGGGTAGTGCGGATTCAGCCTTAGACTCACAGGTGTATCTCGTATGCAATTACATTACTGCATTTATTCCATTCTCTGTCTCCCATAGATAAACATCTCTACTGGAGAGGCGGGGTTTACATTGTGCTACAATCCAGATTAGCTGCATCGAATGGTGTGGACTCACACAATCCAGTTCCACGCAGCTGATCAGCATTCTGAAACCGGATTAGAAGACAGTGCAGACGCAGCCTTAGACTAGCAGGTGTGTCTCGTACACTTTGCAACCTACGTTGCCTTACTATCAAAGCAATACGGTGGATGAGATGACTTGGGTGTCAGTGCAGACAATTCGCTTTTTATTTTTCCTGGTGATAATGCATACCAAAACAATTTAGTTTGGACACACGGATAGTTCTTTGACAAGGAGACCAAACTACACATCCTACAATTCGGGTTAAATTGGGGCAGAACAGCATTCATTCCACAGTACCGAGTGGGACGGGTCCATCTAATCTTGCAGTGAATACAGAAAGGAACACAACCAAACAACTGGATGCAAAAGAGTCCCCAACTTCCTCCCTTTGGAACACATTCTCCAACAGGGGACCACTTATTAAGGCTTGAGCAAACGCTCCAACAGGGGGCCACTCAGTGGGGCTTGAGCAAAACCTCCTACAGGGGGCCACTCGGTTAGATTTGGACAAAACCTCCAACAGGGGGCCACTCACTGAGGCTTGAGCAAAACCTCCTACGGGGGGCCACTCAGTGAGGCTTGCACCATAGATCCAACAGGGGGGCACTCAGAGAGGTTGGGACCAAAGCTCCAATTCAGTGAGGATTCAGCAAAACCTCCTACAGGTGCCACTCAGTTGGACTTGGACAAAACCTCCAACAGGGGGTCACTCAGTGAGGCTTGGACCAAAGCCCCAACTCAGTGAGGCTTGAGCAAAACCTCCTATAGGGGGGCACTCAGTTGGACTTGGACAAAACCTCCAACAGGGGGCTACTCAGTGAGGCTTGGACCAAAGCTAAAACAGGGGGCCACTCAGTGAGGCTTGTTCAAAACCTCCAACAGGGGGCCATTCAGTGAGGCTTGGCCCAAAGATATAACAGGGAGCCACTCAGGTAAGCTTGGACCAAAGCTCCAATTCAGTGAGGCTTGAGCAAAACCTTCTACAGGGGGCCACTCAGTTAGATTTGGACAAAACCTCCAACAGAGGGCCATTCAGTGAGGCTTGAACCAGAGATCCAACAGGGGGCCACTCAGTGAGGCTTGGACCAAAGCTAAAACAGGGGGCCACTCGGTTAGGCTTGGACCAAAGCCCCAACTCAGTGAGGCTTGATCAAAACCTCCAATGGGGGGGCACTCAGTGAGGCTTGGACAAAACCTCCAACAGGGAGCAGTTCAGTGAGGCTTGGCCCAAAGATATAACAGGGGGCCACTCAGTGAGGCTTGGACCAAAGCTCAAATTCAATGAGGCTTGAGCAAAACCTCCTACAGGGGGCCACTCAGCTAGACTTGGACAAAACCTCCAACAAGGGGCCATTCAGTGAGGCTTGAGCAAAACCTCCAACAAAGGGACACTCAATTAGGCTTGGACCAAAGATCTAATGGGGGCCACTTAGAGAGGCTTGATCAAAGCCTCCAACAGGGGGCCACTCAGTGAGGCTTGGTCCAAAGTCCCAACTCAGTGCGACTTGAGTAAAACCTCCTACAGAGGGGCTCTCAGTGAGGCTTGGACCAAAGCTCTAACTCAGTGAGGCTTGAGCAAAACCTCCTACAGAGGGGCACCCAGTGAGGCTTGGACCAAAGCCCTAACTCAGTGAGGCTTGAGCAAAACCTCCTACAAGGGGCCACTCATTGAGACTTGGACAAAACCTGCAAGAGGGGGCCATTGAGTGAGGCTTGCTCTTCTGATCGAGAAGGAAAGGCGAGGAGCCCCATCTCTCTCCTTGTCTGCATGCATCTCACCTGGGAAGGGGCCCAGCGCTGCCAAGCAAAGGCCGGTCGCCCACCAGCTCCGGAGCCAGCCTTGGCTCGCTTTCCCAGCCATCGAGACAGAGTTCCTTCCTTCCTTCCTTCGCTGTGGGGCCGACTCAAGGGGATGCTCTCATTCAAAGGAGGATGCAAGACCCGGCATCGGAAGGGCAAAACAAGAGACCCAAAAGAGGAATCAGAATGGACGGGTGGCTGAGATGAGTAAGTATATATATATATTGCGAAAAAATCCACAAAAGATCCTTTTTTGTTTGGTTTCCGCGCTCCAGCCTCCCTTGTGGAAGGCTCCTTTCCCCAAAGACACGATCCCGCGTGGAAAGGGAGGCAAGAGGCACCCTCTGGACGCTTTCCTCTTCTTTTCAGATCGGATCCGGGCGGCGGGGCATGTCTTCCCCGAGGATGGAGGCGGACACGGGGAATCACGCGTGTCCGGAGTCACGGAGGAAGGGAGACAGGAAGACAGGCTCGCCTTCGCCTTCCCCTCCTCTTTCTGCCTCTCCTCCCTTTCTTCTCCGGCGGGGAAGGAGATCTAGTGGGTGGGCTCCTTCTCCAGGGTTTCAGAGACCCTCCTCCGGGCGGCGAGAGTTTCCCCGCGGGATCCGGAGCTCCATCGTGGCGGGCGGCTCCCTTTCGCGCGGCTTCCCAAGCTCGATCTGGAAAGGAACCCAGCTCAGAATGGGAGAGGGAGGAGGAGGAGGAGGGAGAGGGGCGGGGCCGGCGCTCTCCCCTCCTGCGTGCCTGCGTGCGCGTGCACGACGCCACAGCCCCCCCCCCCCTCTTCCCGCCGTTCTCCCCCTTCCCTTCAATTTTTGTGGATGCTGCCCGGCCACGCCCACTCCAGCCTCGGCACCACCTCTTTTCTGTGACGTCACGGCGTGTTCAACTAATCAAAGTAGAGTGGGAGGGGAGCTTTCTTTGGAGGTTAACCCTTTCCTTTCCAGCAACCAGAGTTACTTAGAGAAATAACACACCTCTATCCGCTAGATAATGGAGAAAAGCAGGGAGTTGCAGAAAAAAAAATACTATTTCTGTTTTGGGTTGTTGTAGGTTTTCTCGGGCTGTTATGGCCATGGTCTAGAGGCATTTTCTCCTGACGTTTCGCCTGCATCTATGGCAAGCATCCTCAGAGGTAGTGAGGTCTGTTAGAACTAGGAAAAAAGGGTTTATATATCTGTGGAATGACCAGGGTAGGACAAAGGACTCTTGTCTGCTGGAGCTAGGTGTGAATGTTTCAGCTAACCACCTTGATTAGCATATAATGGCCTGACAGTGCCTAGAGCAAACTTTTGTTGAGAGGTGATTAGATGTCCTTGTTTGTTTCCTCTCTGTTGTTGCTGTTGTAATTTTTGAGTTTTTTAATACTGGTAGCCAGATTTTGTTCATTTTCATGGTTTCCTCCTTTCTGTTGAAATTGTCCACGTGATTTCAATGGCTTCTCTGTGTAGTCTGACATAATGGTTGTCCAGCATTTCTCATCCAGAGGAAAAGTGTTCTTGCCATACATCAAGGGAACCACTGACCGCATAGGGAAGCTGATGAGGAAACACAACATACAAACTAGCTACAAACCCACCAAGAAAATCCAACAAATGCTACGTTCAGCAAAGGACAAGAGGGATCCTCTTGCTTCTGCAGGAGTCTCCCGTGTACCATGCAGCTGTGGACAAGAAGTCTACATAGGGACCACCAAATGCAGCAGCAGAATGACCCAGACACACATCAAGGAACATGAAAGGCACTGCAGACTCATTCAGCCAGAGAAGTCAGCCAGAGTAGAGCACCTGATGAACCAACCTGGACACAGCATTTTATTTGAGAAGACAGAAATGCTGGACCACTCTCACAACCACCATGGCCATTTCTTGCTGTTTCTTTGTCAGTGTTGATGTAGAGATTGTTTGGTTTGCCTACTCTGGAACATGCAACATATCATTGTCCTTCTTTAGAGGTCCCTTTCAAATCTAGGATACTATATCTCTGTGTGTGTGAATCATATCTATCTATATCTATGGCTGGATGGCTCTTTGGCAGGAGGGCTCTGAAAATGTTTTTTTGCCCTGGTGAAGGGAGTTGGATTGGGTGGCCTTAAGTATTTCCTGTTGGTCATGGGGGTTCTGTGAGGGAAGTTTGCCCCAATTCTGTCATTCGTGGGATTCAGAATGCTCTTTGATTGTAGGTAACTACAACTCTCAATGTTCAAGGTCTATTTCCCCCAAACTCCATCTGTGTTCATATTTGGGCATATGGAATATTCGTGCCAAGTTTGGTCCAGATCCATCATTGTTTGAGTCCACAATGCTCTCTGAATGTAGGCAAACTACAACTCTCAAACCCAAGGTCAATGCCCACCAAAGCCTTCCAGTATCTTCTGTTGGTCATGGGAGTCCTGTGTGCCAAGTTTGGTTCAATCCCATCATTGGTGGAGTTTAGAATGCTCTTTGATTGTAGGTTAACTATAAATCCCAGCAACTACAACTCCCAAATGACAAAATTAATTTATTTTGAGTGATAGTCACTCTTAGGTTAGTAAGTGTCTTGTGTCCAAATTTGGTGTCAATTAATCCAGTGGTTTTTGAGTTATGTTAATTCCACAAACGAACATTACATTTTTATTTATATAGATTCCAAACCTGTGACTGTGTGGATCATCATAAATTGTGGCAAGTTCTTGGTGGTATGGGCATACCAAATCACCTTATCTCTCTCCTGAGGTATTTGTATAAGGACCAAGTAGCAACAGTAAGAACTGACCACGGAACAACAGACTGGTTCAAATTTGGGAAAGGCGTACGGCAGGGTTGTATACTCTCACCCAACCTATTCAACTTGTATGCAGAACACATCATGCGAGGATGTGCGGGGCTTGAGGAATGCAAAGCTGGGGTGAAAATTGCTGGAAGAAACATTAACAACCTCAGATATGCAGATGACACCACTCTGATGGCCGAAAGCGAGGAGGAGCTGAGGAGCCTTCTAATCAGGGTGAAAGAAGAAAGCGCAAAAGCTGGGTTGCAGTTAAACGTAAAAAAAAAACAATTTCAGTAGCTTCTCTGTGTAACCTGACATGGTAGTTTTTGGAGTGGTCCAGCATTTCTGTGTTGTCAAATAATATGCTACACTATGTCCAGGTTGGTTCATCAGGTGCTCTGCTATGGCTGCCTTGTCTGGTTGAATCAGTCTGCGGTGCCTTTCATGTTCCTTGATTCATGTTTGGGCAACGCTGCTGCGTTTGGGGATACCTATGTAGACTTGACCACAACTACATGGTATACGGGAGACTCCGCAAAAGTGAGAGGATCCCTCTTGTCCTTTGCTGCACCTAATCACCTCTCAACAAAGGATTCCCCCAGGCAGGAACAAGCCACACCTAAAAACTGTCAGGCCATCAAATTGCAACCAGAGTGGCCAACTGAAACATTCACAACTAGCTCCAACAGACAAGAGTTCTTTCTCCCACCCTGGACGTTCCACAGATATATAAACCTAGTTTTTTCTAGTTTCCAACAGACCTCACTACCTCTAAGGATGCCCGCCATAGATGCAGACGAAATGTCAGGAGAGAATACTTCTAGAGCATGGCCATACAGCCCAAAAAATATACAGCAACCCTGGCCATGATTGTTTCTTTTCTGGAATTCCCCATTTTCAGAGTGTTGTTCTTTGTTTACTGTCCTGATTTACTACTACTTCTGCTTTGAACCGTCAGGAGAGGCAGTAATAAATTATTATTATTATTATTATTATTATTATTATTATTATTATTATTATTATTATTTACATGTACATAACAACACAGCATGCATGCACATTAGGTCCAAGTGTTGTTGTTGTTGTTTATGGTGTTGACCATTTTATTGCAGTTTAACTGCATTGAACTGCGTAATATGAGTCTACACTGACTATCCAATGTAATTTCAAAGTGCAAATGGGGCCCACATCATGAGGTATCTTAGGCCAGATTTACACTACTATATAATGCATAATATGGTTCTTGTAGACTGGAGCTGCATTATACAAAGTCTACATTGTTGAGAATAAGGTGACTTGGAGGTCTTGTGTTCTGGTCAACTATACTGCAGGGAATGGTGACGGCATCAAACTGTTATAATGCCAAGGTGTGGATACTTACTGCTGTCCTTGTTTCTGTGTCTGTCTGATGTCCTTGGCGGGTAACCTTTTAAACTGAACATGTGACAAACCCAAATGCCAATTATGTCTCCATTTGTATTCCAGTAATCTTTCGACAGGACGTAATGCCAGGCATGCCAACTGGGGTTCATATACCCCTTCATCTTTGAGTATGATCGATGCCTGAATTTACCAGCAGTGCCTTTTTGCATTCTACATACAGATGAACAGATCTGCCTGTGAATAAAGGTGAAAACAAGTGTGAGAGAGACAAGTCAGACATCAGAAATCGTGTTATTCAAAAAATAGTGCAGGAACCACACATGTATAGGATGTGTCCATATACAAGGGATTTAGTCCTCTTAGTAGGAGCCCCCAGTGGCACCATGGGTTAAACCCTTGTACTGGCAGGTCAGAGGTTTGAATCCGGGGAAAGCATGGATGAGCTCCCTCTGTCAGCTCCAGCTGATTATGCATGAACATAAGAGAAACCTCCCACAAGGATGGTAAAACATCAAAAACATTTGGACATCTCCTGGACAATGTCCTTGCAGACAGCCAATTCTCTCATACCAGAAGCGACTTGGAGTTTCTCAGATCATTCCTGACATGAAAATAAGAGTTCTCTTATTAGACCACAAGCTGAACATGAGTCAAGAGTGTGATGCAGCAGATAAAAAGGCCAATGTGATTCTAGGCTGCGTCATTCCATCCAAACATTAAGAAGAACATTAAAGGCTGAAACCAATGCAGAACAGCTGGACAAGAATCTGATGAACCATTTGATTCTTTCTTATGTGGCTTCAGCTGGGACAAAGGGMTTTTTTTTTGTYAAAAATGCACACAATCTATTTATTATTTATTATTTCATTTTATTTACAGTATTTATATTCCACCCTTCTCACCCTGCAGGGGACTCAGGGTGGATTACAATGCACATATACATGGCAAACATTCAGTGCCATAGACATACTTATTATTATTATTATTATTATTATTATTATTATTATTATTATTTAATACCCGCCACCATCTCCCCAGTGGGGTCTTGGGGCAGCTTACATGAGGCCAAGCCCAACAGCATAATACAATAAAGTAAAACCAAAACACAATAACAACACAGTAAAATACATATTACCTACATATGAGTACAAAAACAATAAAGCAAAATCATACACAATAAAATAAAATAAAATAACAATGAGTGGGCCACATGTGCAACATAAATACTAAGATACTAAAAATACTAAAACCATGGGATGGAGCAGATTGTTTGTGGGGGAGAAACTCATAAAGGAATGGGGTCATAAATATAGACCTTCATATAGTTGGGGAAATCTACTCTGGGGACAGAAACCGTTGAGGGGGAGCAACTGTGTATGATAATATGGCTACTATCCAAAAGCACATTGGAAAAACCAGGTTTTGAGATCCCTCTTGAAAATGTCTAAGATGGGGCCCTTCCTTCACCGGGCAATGAGTTCCAAAGTCGAGGGGCCACAGAGGAGAAGGTTCTCTCCCTTGAGCTTACAAGATGAGCCTGTGATAATGGCAAAGGTGAA